CCTCGAGATATCAACACATCTTTAAACATTTGCGAGGAAAATAAAAACTCCGCTGCACTTATTCCTCGGAGGACTGGACTCGGGTTGAAAAAAGCTTTGAATTTGAAATTAACCGGTGCAAATCCGGATGCGCTCGCCGCTCCGCTCGGTTCACCGGGTCAAGATCTTCTTACCAGACTATAAATACTGGAAATGTCCACGGTGATTTTCGATCGGCATCAATTAACCCCACTTCATCGAAAAACTGGACTCTCGCTGCACTTATTCGTCCGGTGAGGACTCCCCCGGGGCCTCCCGTTGAAGAAGCCGTATTTGGAAAGGTGAATGCCGGTTGAGTTCCGGCATGGCCCCGCCCGGTCCGCTCGGTTCCCCAAAGAGCAACTTATAGGGCTTATGCGTCTAAATCACTGGCAAGTAACGCGGACGGTGCATATTCGCTGGCCATTAAATCACACTTATCGAAACACACTGGACTCTGGGAGCGCGTTGACTTTCTACATGATCGGCGGTGCACCCACGGGCACACTCTCCAAGTCGGGCCATCACAGTGGACCGGGAGATGCATCTGTGGAGTGTACCAAAGATGCGTTTTGGTTAGGTGTTACTTGGAAGTATGCAACTGTGACCCACCAATGAGTCCCTTCGTTCGTAGAGAATCCATTGGTGGGGGTCACACGTTTGGTTCGTGTATCATTTAGCGACTCTGGAGTTCCAAACGCGTCTAGAATTTTTGCCGCCTGCACCGGCCTTCTGGTCCACTGTGCGATGGCGCGGCTCTGCGTTTCGGATTACGTGCAAATAATGCGCACTTTGCGCTACTAATGATTCAATGCTTTTAACGCGGATTTCAAACGCGTGCCCCGGTAGAGAGCGGCCTACACTCGAACCCACGGCTGGTCCGGCTCGGTCCCGGGTCCCGGCACTTCACCCACCTGTGCACTAGGTGCGCACTGGTTACGCAATGGCGCAAGTATCGTAATGCCGGCCGCCGGCTTTTCATTCTTTTTATTCCTCGGGTCATCGAACCTCGGATTGCCTAAGAAGATGCGCCAGACCGGCCGGGCGCGCTGCCTCGCTGCCACGCCCACGGGTCCAGCGCGGCGCGGCGCCACACGCGACCGGACAAGTGGTTTGCAGCGGGTGGCTGTACAACGGCCGGTCGAGTGGCGCTCAGATTACGATGACAACGCCGCGTGGCGTCGACCCGTGTGACACTGCACTGCAAACTATATTCTCAAACACAAGACGTGTGAGTGCATATGCAAGTCCATGAAATAAGGCAAGAAATAAGATAATTGTTACTTACTTACTTACTTACTTACTTACTTACTTACTTACTTACTCACTTACCTACTACTTACTTACTTGCTTGCTTACTTACTTACCTATGTACTTGCTTATATACCTCATTCCTTCCTTCCTTTTCCTTCCTTCCTTCCTTCCTTCCTTCCTTCCTTCCTTCCTTCCTTCCTTCCTTCCTTCCTTCCTTCCTTCCTTCCTTCCTTCCTTCCTTCCTCATTTGTCCACTCTTCTGGCAGCCACAAACAAAACAGAGTTCGGTCAAAAATTTAAAAATGAAAATAAGAAACAAAAATTGAAAAAACAACAACAAATATTGCGCTTTGCAGTGGCGCGGCCCCACGCGAGGTGTGGCGTCGCCGGTAGCGTCACGCACTCCGCTCTGCTCCTCTTTGCTTCGCGCCCCGCGCTCATAAAAGCGACCCGGCGATCGGACCCGAATCGGCTTTTTCCTGTCATTTAATTTGCATCGGCCGGCACGAAAACCGGAGCCGCGGTCCCCTTTCGACCCGACGAGCGTTAGTCAGGTTTTATTGTGTCATCTCACGTTGGATCGGACTCTCGACTCGGATTCGGCGGCCACGTCGCCATTTTACTGCCTGCCGTACTCTCGCCGCGATTTGTCACTTATGCTTTATCTTCTGCTAATTCCTGTAGAGTTTTTTGTTTTTATAGCTGAAGACACATACTTCACTCTGAATGTCTTGCAGTAAAGTTTGTCCTTTTGCTGCGTCATGAATTCCGCGCTATCGAAATATGAAGCAGAATCTCCCCAACTTTTTAGTGCTCCTCGCTGTAAGATTACAAAGGAAATCCTTCAGCCTTCATTCGAAGAAAAACGACGTTCGTCTCATGCTTGCACCACATCTTTCACAGTGTGAGAAATTTCCTCGTCAGAGGTTTAGAGTGTAGCAGAGAGAGACTTCCTGCGGGATCGGCGCCCGGAGGCCACTGACTGGCTCGCCGGCCACCACCGGCTATGCATCTGCGAGCGTCCGCCGGTGTCTGCCTGCTGACGGCGGGCCTCTCCAAAATCGGCACCATGCTGCGGCGGGCTGCGGCTGGCCCCCAAAGCCGAGGCCACACCGTGCTGCCCTTCTTGGTGTCGTCTGCCACCAATCGGAAAAACAAAGCCTTGCTGCGTCCACAAAACGACGAGGCAGACGGACTTATTGAGGGGGACAGCAATTTTTGCAGCTTACAATGTTTTCGCCCGCCGTCGTCCTTGCGTGGGGACGTTTACCGCAGGCAAGCCGCAGGCCACCGGTCCGTCCCGGCCCGTCCTCAGAGCGGGAGGGGGAGGAAGGACGCGACGACGCACCCGGAGCGGTACTCGCCGGGGACAACCTTATTCCCGCAAATGCAAGACGACGCACAGTCTCGCTTCATCAGGCAGGCCCATGAATGACGACTTTACGAGCTGGTTCGCTCAGCCCCGCGCTCGCGTGCGCGCTTGGCCCTACTGTCCAAGGGCATTTGCATCCGCTCGTCCCACTAAGGAAGGTGGAAAACAGGACCGCTTCCGTTTTTCCAAGGAAGCCCATCCTGCGCAGCGAGGAAGGATCATCTCGCCTGAAAAAGGCTTCTAGATTCTAGGGTGATGTGCGTTCTTAAATGTTTCAGAGCTCTGTTACTGCTTTGTGGACCAACGGAGACTGAGCCGCTTTCTTGGCCGCTGTGCCCTGTCACACTGTACCAGAGTCGCCATTTCTTTCGGGCGGAATGTACGGCAGCAGCAGCATGCTCGGCAGATTCCAAATAACCTTGCTGTCGACTCCACTTTCGGTTTCGTCGGCAGGCAGATGAGGCGGCCGGGCAGAAGACCCACTTGTTTCGATTCTGTTTCGTTTTGTTTGGCCACTCGCCATAACTCACACGCCGGGAAGGTGAACCAGGAAGCGTCCAGACCCTTTGCGGTGGGCGACGCGCGCGGTGGCACGGTGGCGCGAGCAAGTGGCGAAGAGTCTGGCGGTGAACTCGATCGCCAGCAAACCACTGTGCACTTACACACTTTTTTCCCCCGTTCTACACTAGCGTTTAAGTCTCCGCGGCTTTGCGGCGCTAATCACGGCCTAGACGAGGAGAAGCCGTGCAAACAAAACAAACCCCGACACCCCGTCCACGCAGCGAAAAGAGTTTGTTTTAATTACCTGTATGTGCCCCTTGCAGAGAGGCAATTCCGTTTGTCAACTTCCCGCTCGACGGCGCCGAGCGAGCGCGTGATGGTACACTGCAAAGCGGTTTTCACCGCCCCCGTCTCTAGTTTCGTTTTTATTTCAATGTTTTCTGATCTGTTAACACGCACAGCTCGCTACCGGCCGGCGCGGTGGACTCTTTAGCCACCGTCCATGAGCCGAACCTCTATGGCTGTATTAGCGGTGGCGAAAAAGAACGAGAGAGACATCGGCCGCCTGGGCGACGGCTGCTGTGTTCCACTATCGCAGAGATCTCGCATACCAGTGTTAATATTTCTAACCTGATGCATAGTCTATCAAGACCACCCAGCCAAAGCTCATGTTGGAAAAAACTTAAATTTTATTGTTCACCCTCGGCAGTTTCATCTTTTAATCGTTTCGGGTGCATTGTGTCTGTTAATTTCTACACGTTCTGGACTGTTTCATTTTTCTTTGAATTTTACCTATTGGAGTTTTTGAGTTTTTTTTTTAAATGTAGAGTACATTAAACGGCTTCGAAGTGTCGCCCCCCGGTCCTGACTGTCTGTGGCGCCCGAGCAGTGGTCGTGGCCCCGCCTATGGCAGTCGTGCTGCGCCGCGCTGCGGGCCCACCGCCCTCGCCCCAATCGAATTCCGATTGTTTGGCAGAAGAATATGTCGTGCCGCTCACGTGGAGCAGACGACGCACGGCCCGCGCCGCACTGCCGCCCTGCATGGTGACCCCGCCTGTTTTTCCCGATCAGATACTAGGCTGGCTGCCGTACGCTTCGCCCCGCTTCGTCCCGCTTCGCCCGGCATCGCCCGGCATTGCCGCGCTTCGCCCCGCTTCGCACCGCTTCGTCCCGCTTCGTCCCGCTTCGCCCTGCTTCGCCCCGCTTCGCCCCGCTTCGTCCCGCTTCGTCCCGCTTCGCCCTGCTTTGCCCCACTTCGCCCGGCCAAATAAAAATAGCTCGACGGTATTGGTCTGCACTTGTTGCGAGCCGAGCCGCGCGCCCCTTTGCGTCCCTTTGCACACAGGGCGCGCGGGGCGCTGTCACACGGAGTGTCATTGCGCTCTTCGGACGCGGGCAGAGTATCTCTGCTATGCAAGGATATTTTTCATGAACGCAGCACTTTATTGGTCCTGACATGCGCGACTCGACACCTTGTGTACATCCACGAGCAAGTTTGAAAGAAACGGCTCATTTTACGAAGTCACGGGCTAACTGCTGCCGCCAACCAGCCCAAAAATCCCGTGATGACTTGGGGACTCTATGGGTTTGAATCAATTTCCATCGCGCTTCTCGTGGGGAAACGCGGCGTCCAACGGATGTCTTGATGGGATTCCATGGGAACCAGGGGTCTTTCGGACTGGTCACTGGCACTCCTCGGTCTGGAATGAATCAAAGTTGGGCGGCCGGCCACTGCGTGCCCCTGCCCTGCCCCGCCGTGGCCCCGGGCGACCCGCCGACCCGCCGGACGTATAAAAGGCAGCGCCAGAGTGGGGACTGCACAGTCTGTGACGAGTCCCAGCACCGGCCACATCCCTCCTCTCATCATGAAGGTCCTGGTGAGTGACAAGGCCTGCTGGCGGCCTCCACGGAGCTCTTCGACGAGGCGGCCAGGATCACTGCGTCTCGAGTCCCAACCCCGGATGTCTTATAGGAAAAGCGTGCTCCCGACCCAAATACCCGCCTTGAAGACAAACTTGATTTGATGTAGCAGTGAGCGCAAGTTCCAATTCGCAGGTCACCGGAAATTTCGAGAGATGTGTGTCAATTTATGGCAATTTGCAATCTCATTCGTTTTGGAAAACTTAGTGCTCTTGATCATTCTGCCATCTCAAGACGCTCGACTTCACTTAAAAACGTCTCGTTCATTTTACAAATTGAATTACCATGTCATTGTTTTTGAACCATAGCTCTGCACGAAATTGAGTATACGAGTGAAATGCGTGAATTGGCGAACAAGGTGCTGCATGACAAAAGCACATTTTTGAGCTGAGCTACCGCACAGATTCGTGCAATTTAAAACGTATACCCGATTCCGAGCAGAGCTATGCGCGCAAATCTACATGATAGTGATTCAGTGTAAACGGTGGCCCAGGCGTAGCGCGCCCAGGCGTGCTTCCGAAAATGGATAAAGATGTGCCGCCGTCCGGGACGTGGCCGGGCGTGACCCTTGCACCGGGAAGCACTCTGCCCGACCTGCTGCTCGGCCGCGGCACCGCGGTGCAAGGACCCGCCGCGGCCCGCGCGGCCTCCAGACGGCCTTGGCAGCGAAGACGCTCCTCTCCCCCTCCCCGCCGCACCGTGGCGCCGCCGGCTGGTCCAGTGGGACGCCGGTCTCTTAATTGGAAGCCGTGCCAAAGTGCATCTGTTGCATCCGCCAAAATGGCGTCCGACGCGGCGTGCTTTCAATCCTCTAACAAGGCGTTTTCATTGGCAGATCGTCCTCGCCCTCGTGGCCGCCGCCGCCGCCGACGTGTCCCACCTGTTCGGCGCCCAGCACCAGCACCACCACCACCACCACGAGGTCGCCGCCCCCGTCGTCCGCTCCTTCGACTCCTTCCCCGCCCAGTACCAGAAGCCCATCGCCATCCTCCGCCAGGTCCAGGACAACAGCGGCCTCGGCGACTACAAGTACGCCTTCGAGACCGAGAACGGCATCCAGGTCCAGGAGGAGGCCGTCCTCAAGAACGCCGGCTCCAAGGACGAGGCCAAGAGCGCCCAGGGCTCCTACTCCTACACTGGCCCCGACGGCCAGGTCTACACCGTCCAGTGGGTCGCCGACGAGAACGGCTACCGTGCCTCCGGCGCCCACCTTCCCGTCGCCCCCGAGATCCCCGCCGAGATCCAGCGCTCCCTGGAGTTCAACGCTGCCAACCCCCAGCAGTTCGACCAGCAGTTCTAAGAAACTTGTCACGCTACGATCGCCTGTGTTACCGCCACAAATGATATTCATTTGCGAACCTGAGTACTGTGTACTCGCCTACCAATTTTTGTTGTAAGAGCTCCGAAGTACCTTGTCACAATAAACCATAAGTACAAACAAAGATGCTTCGTTTTGAACACCCGTCACGCCGGATCCTTCCAAAAATGCAACATACAGAAATAGAAAAAAAAATTCAATTCCAAATTAGAGAGAGAATAAAAAGAAACTCGAGTATGACACTGCTTGAAAGTGCTGCCGATTGAGACCAGACTTGCAAAGACGCGGGGGGGGGGGGGGGGGTAGTAGTGTGCTGGTCGAGGGACTCGATTTGAATCGGCCTTTCCAGGAACAGGACACTCCGTTGACGACAGCCGGTCTCTACGCAGCAGGCTCATTCCGATTCCGAACAGAGCTCTCTTGTCTCTCTCGCACTCCCGGGCGTCCCGCAGCGACGAGCCGCCGCTCGGAATCAGTCTAGCTCCTCGGCGCGTGTTCCGGCAACCATAAACACTGTTAACACGCGATGCTCCCTCGGGAGGACACTGGATCCGTTTCAAATGTCAGCTCCTGCGCGGTTTGGCCAGTTTATGGCGATCGCTCTTCTGGGCCGGGGGCAAGGGAGACGTGACAGCCCCGAAATAATGCCATTCTTTATCGGAATATATTAGCCACACTTAACTCTGACCTTTACCCCGAGGCTCCTCTCCAGGCGTCCGAAATCCGGATCCCCGGGCAGAACCGGTCAGGCATCAGTGTCGTCGGCTCAGCGGCTGCTGCGCCTCCACGCGAGGCGTGCACGATGGGCTGCCTAGCGCACGGCGCAGCGGTGGGGCACTCACTCCACCACCGCCCATGAGTTGGGCGCGTACCATTTGGAAACCACGCACGGATTGGCGGAGATTCGTCAGGCTAATCATCATCAGGAAAGTCGGAGAGCGCGGAGAGCGGTGGCTATTTCAGCAGGAGACATGTTTCACTGATGATGTAATAAGCCGTTACTAACAATGCCTCATCCCACCCGCGGGTCGCGGCCAGCGCCGCGGCGTGGTCCCCAGCGTGACTCCCGCGACGGTTGGGCTGCCTATTGCTGAGGGGTCACTGCAGGTGTGTGGACTGTGGGAGCAGCTGTGACCCGTGGCAGTCCAATGGCAGGGCCCTCGGGGCTACGAGCTCGGACGTAACCAAACAGAACGGGGCAGTAGTATTAACACCACTTGTGTGGTATAAGTAGAACTACTTAAATTGCATTTCTCATTTCACAAAAATGATCTTTTGCATTTTTGTCAGATAAAAGAAAAGTGAAAACAATATAAAGTAGAGTGCTAGTGCTGCTGCTTGATGGATAGCGCCTGTGAATGACGGGGTAGGCAACACAGCAACACGTGGGTGCGTGGCGTTCGTTTGGATTGCCTACCAACACGGGGCTCCAGACCACGAAGGCAGCCCATGTGCCTCTGTTTTCAGAGATGACTGTAAATTCATCAGTTCACAGTTTGAGCGATTCACTGAAGATATTGCGAATAAAGAGGAGAGAATTCGATATTCAAACATTCATTTTATTCGGTAGGTTTTTTTTTCGATAGATAACACAATCGGCTGGTCCGGTGATCGAGCTCGGCCGTTCCAGCCGTGACTAGTGCGTCGGGAGTGGTAACGAGGGTAGAGAGGGGGCGGTGAGGTCGCTTAGAACCTCCTGTAGACCTGCTGCTGCTGCTGGAACTGGGGGCGGTCGTACGCGTTGGGGTCCTCGCGGTACTGGCCGTCATCCTCGGGCTCGTTGGCGGACTGCTCCAGACCCTTCCTGATCTCCTCGGGGATCTCGGGGATGTGGGCGCCGGCGGCGCGGAAGCCGTACTCGTCAGCGGTCCAGTTGACGGTGTAGGTCTGGCCGTCCTCGCCGACGTAGGAGTAGCTGCCCTCGGAGACCAGGGCCTCGTCCTTGTTGCCGGCGTTCTTGAGCAGAGCCTGGCCGGTGGCCTCGATGCCGTTCTCGGTCTTGAAGCTGGGGCAAACAGGGGGAGCCGTGAAAAACACGTTCCGCGGAAAACAGGGGAAACAGGGCGCAGGTCGAGGTTCGGAGGGGCGGACACGGCGGGAACGGCCCACGCCTGTCAGCCGCTCAATGCCTTCTGTTTGAACTGGCATAATTATCATTACGAGGGCCGGGAAGAGGCCTGCCCAAAACCAACAAACAGCCCACACAGGCGGCGTCCTCCCTGTGAGTCTAAAAACATTTTTAGGGGGCGCGCGAAGAAGTTTGGACACCGACTGAACCCCCTTTTTCTTTCCTCGGGGTGAGACGTTGGCCCCAGCCAGCCCCAGCCAACGCGGCGAGCGAGAAAAGACAGTAAATGGCTAACGGCTGTGGAAACACTGCGGCAAGTTGGATCCGCGATGCCAGCTCGGCGCTCGGTCCGGGGTCACGGTCCACAAGTCGCTGCGCGTCGTGACAGTCTCTCTCTCTCTCTCTCTCTCTCTCTCTCTCTCTCTCTCTCTCTCTCTCTCTCTCTCTCTCTCTCTCTCTCTCTCTCTCTCTCATTCTCTCTCTCTTCCTCCCCCTCCTTCTCCCCTATCTGCCCCCTCCTCCCATCTTTCTCTTTCACACACACAAACAAACACACTCACAAAGACACATGCACACCCGCGTGCGGGCGCGCGCAGCGAGAGGCGATCTTCGAGTCTGGTCGCTTCTTCTTTTTCCTCATTATTATCTGCGCGGGGTTTCTGCGGGAAATGTGGAGGTCACCGTCTCGCCGCCGCGACGGCCCGGCGAGGCGCGGCACGGCGCGGCACGGCACGGCATAACGCGACACGCCACGGCACGGCAAGGCACGCCACGAGATGGGATGGGACGCTCCCGTTTTATGGTCAGAATGCGATGACAGCGGACTTGGCCAATGGCATGGTCCCATGGTCCCGCGGTCCCGCCAGTCGCAACACGTAACGGCCGGAAGACTCGTGGCCTAGACCAACAGTCACAGGACCACTTTTTCATCCGTTCTTTAGACCGAATGACCGTCATGAAAAGTCTCTCAAGGTGCCGTCGCTTTGAAATTTCGACTTGAAAATCCGAGAGTCCTGAGAAGCCGCCCCTCGAGCCGCCCCCATTTCTCCCGAAAACGAATCTGTCCTGACGCAAGCTAGCGCTAGCGCCGACTAGAGCGCGGTCGGCCCGAGCCAGCGGCTGAGCTGGCTGAGGCTGGCTGAGTGGCGGCCTGTGGCGGCGGGCGGACCCGTTTGGCGGCTCACCTGTACTTGTAGTCGCCCTGCTCGGAGGTCTCCTGCACCTGGCGGAGGATGGCGGGGGGCTTGACGTAGGCCTGCTGCACGTGGTGGTGGTGGTGCTGCTGGCCGAGCAGGTGGCTGACGTCGGGCCTGGCGGCGGCCACGGCGAAGAGGGCGGCGAGGATCTGCAAAGCAGACCACGCCGTCATAGAGTGTGGCGGCCAAGGTGCAGGCCGTCGTCGCCGAGGTGCCGGCCGCCAAATCGACGCGTGATGCCGGCCACTCTGCGATTTGTCTCCTTCGGAGCCACGAGGCGCCCGGGTCGCGCATCAGCGCGTCATCTTCGAGGCCGTCAGGAAGGACGGCCGGCCCTTTAGGGCAGGGCCATTCGTCACCGCGCGCTGCGCCGGTGGCCGCGGAGGCAGCGGAGGCCGCGGAGGCCGGCAAGGGCGTGCTGGAGGAGGACGTCGAGTCCTCCAGGCTGGAGAGCCGCGCTACTCACCAGGACCTTCATGATGCTGCTTGCTTTGCTCGGAGAGAGACGAGTGACGGTCCGGGGACCGGCCCCCGATATTTATACGAGCCCGAGCAGAATCCGCGGTCGACTTAGTTCCTTTTTATTTTCCGCCAAAGCGTCTCCCGGAGCGACAGGCGACGGGCAGGCGGGCAGAGTGTTCGAAAATAAAACACGTTCAACCCCATAAGCAGGCGGCCGTATGCAGGAGTCTGGCGCCGAGGGGTCCGGCCGGTCAGCGCCAGGCCCACCCCCACCCCACCCCCGAGTCCAGGCTGGCCTCTTAGGTGGCACTCGCCGTAAGGCACTTTTTTTTCTAAGTTGGCCCTGACCGTGGAGCGTTGACCGCGAGCTACTACACCTGGTAATAACGTGATGCATTGTTCATGTGAGCGTTTAGGCGAGTGGCGTTTCAGGCACCGGCTGACTGCACTGCACGCTGCGTAATTCGAATGCACTTGCAACGCTTCCACCTCAGCCACCCGGTCCGGCACATAAAGGAATCGCCCTTTCTGCACTCTTGAAATTTCTTTTCCCTCCTTTATTTGAAACGAAAGGCGCCAAGAGTACCATAAAGAAGTCATGGCACCACCAAGCCAGTGCTGGTAAGCAAGCCACTTGTCAAAGCGAGACCAACCCGACGTCACAAAAGTGACCTTAGAGGCATAGTCGGGCATAGCTCGGCAGCAGGGACCCTTGCAACGAGAACTCATGACTCCAAATCCCCAAATTCTTCATATATTTTTCGACCAGGGTATTTTTAGCTGCGTTTCGGACCGATCTCTTCAACATGAATGATGCTCTTTTATTATTGTTGTTTTTGCTGTTGACAGTGTGTCAGTGAGACCGGCTTCCGCTCGAGAGTGCTTCCAGCGGGATAACGCCGCGTCCTTTGCGTGTCAAGGACGGGGCAGAGTTCCAGTTCGGAGGAGGGGAGGGGGGCGGGGCGGGGCGGGGCGGGGCGGGGCGGGGCGGGGCGGGGCGGGGCGGGGCGGAACCCGAAAGTGAATCTGAAACAGTGACCAAGTGCGTGCTGCTGGTAAGGCCCCGGGTCAACACTCTCGCCGCGACATGCTGCAGGCTGTCCGAACAAAAGTGCTCCGGGGCACTCCCGCCAAGGGCGAGACAGCGGCCCTAGCACTAGTTGGAGTCCAGCCAGCTGACAGTGTTGTCGAGTGGCATACCTTTTGGGTGCTGATCACTCCTTTACGAGCCCATCTCTGGGTCATCGCAGGCGAAGCACCATTTTCGAACAGGACATAGGCGTCATTTCCTAGGTTATTTTTGGCGTAAAAATGTATTGTTCGGTTTAAAAAGTACTTGTCACCTCGCTCAGTAATGCGTCAAAGATATTTTATTCTGAGCAAAATCAACTAAGACGGACCAGTTCTTCCGGCGACCCTCTCCGATTTGCCTGATTTTTTGTAGGCTTAATAACTAACTAAAGGAGAGTCTAAAGCCAAAATATTAGGTCCGACAAAAATTTATTGCCTGAGATATGGCCAACTTTAGTTTAACTTTTGGAGAAAAAACACGAATTTGGGTATTTTGGACTAATTTTACACTTTTCATAGTAGAGGTCTAAAATTTGGTCACTTTATGTAAAATTGGCCAAGGAACAAGAATATGACCTCAGATTTGACCTCCGAAGAATACCTGCAGAGTAAACCCCCCCAAACCCCCTAAAAACACCTAAAAAAACAGTTTTTTCTTGGGGTTTCTGGGAAAAATATGTGGACAAAAATTTCTGATGACCTCATCTTATAGAAAATGACGCGATGAATCGAATGAGACCACGCGCAGATTTTTATGTCAAACCGTTTAGGAGATATAGCGGTTCAAAGCATGCAAATTTTGCCATTTATTTTTTAAAAAATGTAGGTTTTGAGCATTGTTTGACGTTCTCTGCCTTCTTGGTGTGTGTGGGTGATCTTTTCTTGTGGAAAAAGACGCGCTGAATCGAATGAGACCACGCACAGAGTTGTATCTCAAACCGTTTAGGAGATATAGCGGTACAAAGTATGGGCACGGTATTCCGCCCTCCCAACAGGCGTGTTTGGCGGGCCTGCCTTGTCGGGTGTTTGTAGGAGCTCTCCCGTGCCCATACTTTAAACCACTATATCTCCTAAACGGTTTGAGATACAACTCTGTGCGTGGTCTCATTCGATTCAGCGCGTCTTTTTCCACACGAAAAGATCACCCACACACACCAAGAAGGCAGAGAACGTCAAACAATGCTCAAAACCTACATTTTTTAAAAAATAAATGGCAAAATTTGCATGCTTTGAACCGCTATATCTCCTAAACGGTTTGACATAAAAATCTGCGCGTGGTCTCATTCGATTCATCGCGTCATTTTCTATAAGATGGGGTCATCAGAAATTTTTGTCCACATATTTTTCCCAGAAACCCCAAGAAAAAACTGTTTTTTTAGGTGTTTTTAGGGGGTTTGGGGGGGTTTACTCTGCAGGTATTCTTCGGAGGTCAAATCTGAGGTCATATTCTTGTTCCTTGGCCAATTTTACATAAAGTGACCAAATTTTAGACCTCTACTATGAAAAGTGTAAAATTAGTCCAAAATACCCAAATTCGTGTTTTTTCTCCAAAAGTTAAACTAAAGTTGGCCATATCTCAGGCAATAAATTTTTGTCGGACCTAATATTTTGGCTTTAGACTCTCCTTTAGTTAGTTATTAAGCCTACAAAAAATCAGGCAAATCGGAGAGGGTCGCCGGAAGAACTGGTCCGTCTTAGTTGATTTTGCTCACTATCTTCATTATAATGTATTTTATTTCACTTTACTATGGTTTAGCTATTTATTAAATACTTTCTTGGCTACAGCACAAAACGGTGCTGTGTTGTGCAGTTCTTTGAGCATTGTAGCAGACGAATATTTGCTTATAAAAATCTGAAAGTCATCGTCCATGGACAAAAAACAAAAACACGCGACAGCAAGAATCCTGCATACGTGAAGTTGGCGTGCACCCGGTCTTTTTGTGAGTGTTCCTCTTTTTATTGACAGCGCTCTTTAGCTGCTTTTAGACGCAAGAGGCCCTTGGGCGTGCGTGGCGTGCGCGGCGTGCACACAGTCACACAGTGTGACAAGTGGCGGCGCCACCCGGACCGGTTTGGTTTTGCGTGACCCTAGCAGTGTGTCCCGCGCCGCGGCGGAGCATCTCGTCTTCTTCCTTCCTATGCACCCAGGGAAAGAAGCGCACAGCCAATTTGACAACTTTTCAATCTGGAGCAATAGCCTACGGGATGGGCCAAAGTTGCCGATGTGCACAGTAAATGACTTACGGTGAAAGGCTGCACATTTTCTCCACAATACCAACGAAATTCGTCAAAATATCTATAAGGTACAGCAGTGGATTCTCAATGGTATGTTATGAAGTCAGCTGCACCACCATAATATGGAACATTTTCGCCATAATATGGAGAATCTTCACTGTACAACATTTAGAGTGTGTTACTTTTCCTGTTATTTTAGCACTCGTATCACTCAGTGAAGCACGTCTCATGCCTCATGTATCGAAAAAAAAACCAAAAAAACAGGAAACCAGTCTTATGTTATCCCTATTTCGATGTAAACGGTCCATTTTGAGAGGGTTTATTTCACCTCATTGGAGAAAGAATTCTTACATCTCATACCATGTCGTGACGCGGTGACGCAAGGACTCAAACTCGTTAATAAAAAATGGAATGATACGGACGAAAATGAAAGTAAGCGAAGAGAGAAAAATGAGTTGAGCCGCGCGACATTGTCCGTTGGATTGCGGTTTGGGCCGTTCGGGGAGCACGTCATCGGAACGGCGAGGCGCGGCGAGGAGCGGCAGCGACCGGGTGTCGGGCCGTGGCCCCCGTGGCCCCCGTGGCCCCCGTGGCCCATGACCCGCCTCGCCTCGCGCATCACCACCGGCACCTGGTGTTCATCCTTTGGGAGTGCCGCGGGGCGGCGAGTAGTTTGCTGGAAACAGGCAAGGTTCAGAAAGGTAGCGTCCCGGAGGTAGGCAGTCGGGCCATGTCACACGCCGCAGGGCAGAGCGGCGGAACGAAGGGGGACACCAGCAGCGACACTTTTCTCTCCGTGTTTGCGTACCAGAAGCGGCAGTGGAAGACTGCGAGGCGACGCTCGGATCTCTGGCTTTGGCTGCCTGGCTTCTTGGCGGCGCTTCGGATAGGGCGCCGCGGTGCCTGGCAGGAGGGCTCAACGCGTCGCTCGGCGTTGTGCCCGCGGCCCCGCGGCGGCACGGCATCGGCAGGGCTTAGGGAGGCCCTAGCGGCCCGCGGAACCAAACCTACAGCGCGCACCGACTCGCCTCTCAACCTGCCGAAACAAAGCCCTATTTGTTGCACAATGTGCCGCCAAACGGCACTCCGGAGGGGAGCCGGCAGTTGAGGTGCGAGTGGAGGGGCGGCCGTGTGTGTGAGTGTGTGTGTGTGTGAGTGTGTTTGGCGCTGCAGACGCTGCGGACGGTGTGGGTGTGTCGGGGAGGGTCTCCTCCTTGCTTATTGGGCGGGCTAACGATTCCTCAAGGACCAACGGGTATATTCGACGCCGGCAAGGCGGCAAGGCGGTACCCCTGCAGTGCCCTCTCCATCAGGCCGGGCCCACCCGTATAAAAACATTGTGCGGTGCATTGAGGGCACCAGTGAGTCGTTGTTGAGCACCCGGGGAGCAACAAGAAGCCAGCGCCATGAAGACCACCGTGAGTGTCGTGTCTAGCTGTGTTCAGTGACCGTGAGGTGTTAAGCGCGCCGAGATCTCCGCGTCGCTACAAACTCGAGCCGTAAAGTGCGGCCGGCTCTCGGCTGTTGGCACTACGGCAGTGTTCAAAGTTGACTCGACTGGCGCGGCATTAGCAGTGCAGTGGCGGCCGGGGCGCTCGGGCCGCGGAAAAGCGGGCTGGTTAGCGAGGAGCGCGCTTGTTATTAGAGTGCTGTACCGCCCATTACGCGCTGATGTCTTGTCATGGCACGATAACTAAGTCGGATGTCGTGTCGTCAGGCCCTCGCCGTGTGCGCCCTCGTGGCCTGCGTCGCCGCCGCGCCCCAGTTCCCGCAGCAGCAGCAGCAGTACCAGCAGCAGTACCAGCAGCAGGCCCGTCGCCAGCAGACATACTCCTCGTCAAGCAGCACCCCCGCTGTGAACATCGCTCTCACCCGGTCCTCGCCGGAGCAGCCCATTGTTATCCTGAAGCAGGTGCAGGACTTCGCCCTGCCCGGCACCTACTCGTACAGGTGAGTCGGGCAGTCAGTGACCGCACACTGTCGCCTCTGGCGAGTGTTTGAACCTCGGTTTGAACCGCCCTCTGCCTGCCCCGCAGCTACGAGACCGAGAACGCCATCCAGGCGTCGGAGAGCGGCGAGCTGAGGAACGCCGGCACCCCAGAGGAGGCCAACGCGGTGCAGGGCTCGTACTCGTGGGCGGACGCCGACGGCACCGTGTACACCGTCAACTACGTCGCCGACGAGAACGGCTTCCAGGCCCAGGGCGCGCACCTGCCCGTGCCGCCGCCCGTGCCCGAGGAGATCCAGCGCGCCATCGACTACGCCAGGTCGCAGCCGGGCTTCAGGGAGGACGACGACGGCCAGTACCGGAAGGAGGAGTAGACGAATAAAGTCCTAAAAAGCCAAAAAGTGCGTTCTTCCTTTCTCCGCCACGGCGGCGTTCTCTCAGGAAACCATGCCAACAGACAGACAGTGGAACGCGGGACAACGAGGCATGTCGGAGAAATGTGTGTTATTTTCGGGCGCTGCGCGCGTCTGTGTGTGTGTGTGTGTGTGTGACTGTCACTTAAGGTGGTATTGAGCACGTGGACAGTCTCTTGCTGCGCGGGGAGGGGCGGGGCACCCAGCCAACCGCGGGCCGACCTTCACCTTTAGCTGGACGGCCCCACATCCCACCGCGTCCGAGGAAGATACGAGTCCTGGGCGAATAACCTGCCCGAATGCCGGTCTCGGCTCCAGTACGGTCGTCCCTACACTGCGAGGCTTTTTCAGGGCGGACTCGCCCAGAGGCCCGAGTGCATGCTGACGGTGGGAAAGGAAGGAGTTGATGAGTGGGGGCAGGGCGGGGCAGGGGTCACTGAGTGGCTAGACTGGCACGCACCCGTTCTCGGGCGGCTTAGGAGTTAGCTCGCGACACGCGGCCTGCGGCGAGCCAGTGGCGCCAGATGGGTTGCCTACTCGCCGGGCTGGAGCGGCGCCCGGAGGCGGAGGCTGGAGGCCGCCGGGGCCTGGACCGGTCCGGGGGGAAGGGGCGCAGGTGGCGACCAGGCCACGCCAGGCGGCCACACCAGGCGGCCTTGAGAAAGAAGAAGATCAGGCTGGACCGTCTAGTCCGGCAAGCGTCAGGCACTCCGGCAGGGCACGCTGCGCATAGCTGCGCGCCGTGTGGCGTGGGACCTGACGGACCTGACTGGGAGCGCCTCGCCCGGCCACGCTTGGTTTCGCTCCGCTCTGTGCGAGTCGCAGCCGCAGCCTATGCGAGTCCCTTCGGTGCGGTTTCGGTCTCGCCGACTCGCCAGCCCGCGGCACTCTTGCCGAACCCCGATAAGTTGCAGGCTCCGATTATTGAAACGAAGCGATGGTCCTCTTTCTGCCGCGCGGCGAGGCGGCCAGGGCGGCGGCGCCCTTCGGCCCACGCCACGCGCCGCGCTCCAGGCTTGCACTGATGTTGTTCGAAATTAGAAAAGCCAGCCAGCGCTCCCGGGCGATACATAATGTCGCGATATTAAAATGGAGTGGCGAGGGAGTGGAGGCCGCGGCAGCAGGATGCACGCCGCTGGGGGAGAGAGAGAGAGAGAGAGAGAGAGGGGGAGAGAGAGAGAGAGAGAGAGAGAGAGAGAGAAAGAGGGGGAGAGAGAGAGAGAGAGAGAGAGAGAGAGAGAGAGAGAGAGAGAGAGAGAGAGAGAGAGAGAGAGAGAGAGAGAGAGCAGGCTGTTGTCGTTTGCGCGAAACATGGCTTCTGATTCGATTCCCCTCCCGCCGGCCACTTTTGTTTCCCGGGGAGGAGAAAGAAAGGCCTCGGCCGACCGGGCAAATCTCTCTGGAAATAATAAGCAGGTTCTGCCGCCGAGATAAAGCGTCCCACAATGCGTTTCTGTGCAGTGCTTTCTGTGCATAGCTTTGCACGAAATGGCACGTGTTCTCAATCTCGTGCAACGCGTACATTATTGAGGGTGCGGTGATTCACGTCGAAGTTGCAGGAAACGGGCAGGGAAGAGCGGAGCGGCGGAGCTGCATCTCGCCGTCCTTCTCGGAATTTGCCTTCGCGATTCGGGGCGCGGTGGGGGCGCGGGCTGCGAGGTGCAAATTAGACTTACGTCCTCAGGACCAGCGGCGCGCTAGCGCGGCTAGCGCTCCATGGAGAGGCACGGCGCCGAAAGTGCGGCTGTGTCTGGGAGGTGCAAGTGGCTTCCTCTTCCATTATAAGCATAACCATTACCCCCGCCACGCCCCGCCGCGCTCCGCCACGCCGGGCTCGCCTCCGCCTAAGCAGCTGCGCGAAGCCTTTCATGGAATAACCGTGAGCGTGAGATTTTATGCACGTGTATTTACTTTGCGCTTTTCGTCTGGATTTATTCTCTAATTATGTAAATACGGGGGTGCCGTTAGTTTTGCCTCGGCCCAGCGGGCCGCCCTCTTTGGCTGCACCGTTATGCAGTCCTTGAGGGGGAGGGCCAGCACCGCAAACGCCCCGCGCCTCACCGCCCCTCACCGCCCCCATGCCGCGCCACGCCACCCCTACACCACCCCCACAACACCCCCACACCACCCCCACACCACCCCCACACCACCCGCACACCGCCCACACCACCCCCACGCCACCCGCACACCGCCCACACCACCCCCACACCACCCGCACACCGCCGCCCACACATGCTGCACGGCGCCCGCTGGGAGTAAGCCGCACTTAAATTGACCGAGATACGGAGTCTGGCTGGTCGGACTACTTAAAGGCGTTTATTTGGCGCCACATGTGCGCCAACGCGGGGCGATGCGGGGCATGGCGGGGCAAGGAGGGGCAAGGAGGGGCAAGGCGGGGCGACGCGGGGCGACGCGGGGCGATGCGGGGCAAGGCGGGACGACGCGGGGCAAGGCGGGGCAAGGCGGGGCGACGCGGGGCAAGGCGGGGCAAGGCGGGGCAAGGCGGGGCAAGGCGGGGCAAGGCGGGGCAGGCGAGGCGGGCGGGGCAAGGCGGGGCGGGGAAGGGGGGCGGGGCAAGGCGGGGCAAGGCACGGCGACGCGGGGCAAGGCGGGGCAAGGCGGGGCGACGCGGGGCAAGGCGGGGCAAGGCGGCAAGGCGGAACAACGCGGCAACCGGCAACGAGGCGTGCACAGCGAGCCGATTGCCCGAGCTGCGACAACGGGCTGGCGGAGGGAGCCGACTTAATTCCAGCTCCGATATTAATGGGGTCAGCTTACTCGCCAAAAGTGCGTTTTGCCAGGTTTGCAAATCGGGTCTCGCAACGGCAGGAATTCGCCTCGCACTATCACTGCATGCCACCGCTTGCCGTGCGCGAGAGAATTCCGCGCTTCGAAAGAACGGACTATGCAGCAGGTTTCATCCGTATGAAATAGTCGATATATTTATGTCACAGTTGAGGGGGTTCATTCTGGTTCTGGTTGCTCTGAAAACTAAGGAGCCTTCTCGGATTTTGCACAAGTAGCCGTACAGAACAGGTGAAAACACGAAGATTCCGGAGCGAGCTGCTTGCTTCTGCAGCGACAACATATTCCAGCTACTCACATGCGGATATTCAGCCAGTCAAAGCAAGCAAGAGGCTGCAGGAACAAAACGCGCCCCGTCTCTCGCAGACTTATTCAACCTGAAACTCAAGGCTTCCCGTATCCAAGTTTATTTCGTCTCCGTGGTGTCATAGTTGAGCAGCCAGCTGCAAAGGGGTAACCCGAACTCCGTACCGGAGAACCGTGTATAGACGAGTATAATTCAGTGGATGGTCGAGAGGAGGAGGGGGGGGGCGTATTGTGCTGTATTGTGAGCGGCGCATCCAATCTGCGACGTGGCCCGCTGCCGATCGACCACTATTTACCCCCCCCTTTCCCCCTTCCCCCTCCCCCTGCTGCTTCCGGTGTTGTTGTCCGGCTGCTACTTCCTCTGTCCGCGTCATTTTCTTCGTTTGAGGGACGGCCCGGCGAACGCGGGGGCGACCGGGCCGAGCGGTGGTGCACTGTTACGTGAGGGGACGCAAAACGCATCAAGTCTTTCCCGCTCCTGCCGGTGGTTTCCCCCGAACTTTGCAATGAAACAGGACGTCCGAGACCTCCACCACCTTTGAACTCGATCCTTTGTGTCACAGCACGTGGCACGGCACGGCTCGGCTCACGGCAGGGCACGGCGAGGCGCCCGTGCGGCAGGCAGCCCGCTCCGCACCGGTGTTGGCTGGGCGGCCTGCCCACCGGGCGGCGGGGCCGGCCGGGGCGGTGCGAGCCTGGCCCAGCCTGGCCGACCGCCTGACAGCGCCCCACGGCCTAGGGCGGTTAAAAAGCGCTGCCGTGGCCAGGCTGGAGAAGATGCCTGGGCTGCCTGGGCCGGGCAGAGTCTCGACTCGAGGAGCTCAAGCACCCCCGCTCTCTCCACCCCGCCGCTGCGCGCCGCTGCGTCAATCCCTGCGCCAGACAGAGACGGAGCTAGCAGCCCGCATTAAACGATGACGCCGCGACGACTGCGCAAAGTCCGCACGCGCGGCGTGCCCGGCACACTCGTGCGTGCGGCACGCTCCGGGATTGAATCGACAGTGGCGCCCTTTCCATGTTTGATCTACTGCGGCCCGGGCGGTGACCCGCGCGGCCGTGCGCCGACCCGGCCGCAGCGCAGAGCCGCGCAGCCGCCGCGCAGCCTGCGGCAGAAAACGGAAAAATATCGGCGACGTTTATGTAAATCCGTGCGACATCCGTGCGAGAACCGACCGACCGACCAGGGCGCAGGGGAAGGGGGAGGGGGGAGGGGGCGCCTTGCGGGATCCTCCCCCATAACGGAGCGGCACCGTGAGCAATATAGAATGACACGCGTGTGAAGCCAGACTCGGGCCGACCGTTGCAGTCTTTGGTCTCCCCCCGTGACGTTCTGCACGATGATTCATTCCCACGCCACCCCTCTCTAATCCGGATACTGAAAGGGTTAAACGGCCTGGCTGGCTGCCTGTCTGCCTGACTGGCTGGCTGCCGGTCTGGCTGGCTGGCTTGCGCAGCACGGCGGGGTGCGGGTGCGGCAGGCCGGGCCGACTTTGGGCGCTGTCATCGTAAAGGGTGATATAGACGCAATGGGCCAGGTGACGCCGCAGCGCGCCACCTGACGACCCCCCTCCCCCCCCCCCCCCTCTCCCCATCCCCACCGTATCAGTATCCTGAGCAGCGCGCTGTGCCGAAAAGGAAGGGAAGTGGGGCGGGGGAGTGATTGGATGGATGTTGTGGTGCAAAGGGCGGGCGCGGTACAAAGGTGGAGCAGACAAAGTCGAGCTTCACAGATCCGCGGCGTCGCTGGCGCTACCCCGCGCGCCGGCAGACTCGCCATGCTCGTCTGGCAGGGAGAGCCCCGCGCGCGGGGTAGCGCCGCGCCCGCTGCGTGGCGCGCCTGCCAACGTCGCCCACTGTCACCGACGACGGG